CTCTTTATGCCAGCCTGTCACAATCCTTTCTCCATAAGTTGCAATTAGTTCAAAATGCTGCAGCCCAGCTGCTGTCCAACACGTGCAAATATGCCCATATCACTCCGGTTCTCTGCTCGTTGCACTGGCTTCCAGTGCAGTGGAGAGTGCAAATTAAAGTTTTGTTGTTTGTCTTTAAGGCAATTTACGGACTTGCTCTGCAGTATTTATCAGAGTTGCTGACTGTGTATACCCCGCGCAGAGTGCTGCGATCCACAGAGCACCTGGCACAGGTGGTCCCACAGTCACGGTACAAGAAGTGGGGCGACCGATCCTTCGCTGTCCACGGTGCTAGACTGTGGAATTCATTGCCGCAGGAGCTTCGGGATATAACTGAGTTATCGATTTTTAAGTCAGTTTTAAAAACTCATCTTTTTAGGCAGGCCTTTTTATCTGATATTTAATGCTTTGAATTCTCTGCAGAGATAATGGTGTGTTATTTGTTTATAGACTGCTATGATGTTCTATGTTGCTATTCGGTATTGTACAGCACTTTGTGCTTAGGTGAGCTGTAAAGTGCTTTAGAAATAAAGTTTATTATTATTATTTAAGGAGTTTTATGTGGGCTAGTGTGTTTGAGATGTGTGTTAAATAAGCATTGTCAAAGTCAGTGTTTATTCATCATATGCACATTCAGGAAGCGTGTTTCCCTGTACAATGAAATTCTTACTTTGCCGTCCACATGAATGCCACACGATACAAATGAAATATAAAGTAGATGAATAAGTAACACAAAATCTAAGGCAGCAATTTGTGGTCATGTTGTGGCTTATTTTCCTTGGTTTACTAACAGTGTTCATTTGATTTAGTGCTTTGTGTGTGTCCACTGCATACATCTGTTCAGCACAATTTGTGTAGGCAGTGTTGTAGTTGTGTGACTAAACCTTGAGATAATCTGAGTCAAGTCAGTCATCAAGGTCTATATTAAACACAATTGACAGCTCTCACCATTTTGTATACCAGATTTTTTGTATATCTATGTATTGCATCATCATCATATTATTCTGCAATTTGATACATAAAAATCATTTTTAGAAAGGTGGAGTGTACACTTCAATGGAAGTGTGCTGGATACAGCATGGTGTGGGTGAACAGGTTTTAATAGCTGGTATTGCAGTGCGGTGGTTAGGTTCCAGCCCTGGGGCCTTTCTCTGTGGAGTTTGCATGTTCTCCCTGTGCCTGTGTGGGTTTTCTCCAGGTACTCCAGCTTCCTCCCATAGTCCAAAGACATGCAGTGTAGGCTGATTGGTGCCCTTAAGAGTGATTGTTTGTCTACGTGTCAGCTCTGTGATAGACTGGTGACCTGTCCAGGGTGTACCTCACCTAATGCTAGATGAGATTAGCTCCACCCACCTGAGGTGCTATTCAGGATTAAGCGGTATACTGGTAGATAATATCTTATGCCAAATTATTATAGCCTATTGCAAAAAAAAAAAAAGATTGAGGCCTTCTCCAATGTCGGAGTCTGAATGCAGTCAGTGCTCGAGTCTGAGTCATCAGTACTCAAGTCAAAGTCAAGTCATGAGTACTGAAAATTGGTGGTTTACCTACAGTAACCCAAGCTTCTATGAGTATAGGCATAGGCCTCTAAGAGCTGTTGCTATTGGGTTTATCCCTCATGTGTGCGCAGTCCCGAAGAGATTTCTTTTGTGCCCTGTGCCCTGCACTGAGCTGTCTCCACTCAGGTCCACTGTGGCCACATAAAAGCCTATGTGATCTGAGTTTGGCTCCCTATGCCAGCACTTTTTATTCAGCCAGCAGAGGTAGACACAGTGGGGCTGTAAGCTTAGAGGGCTACGCCTATACTCATAGAAGCTTGGGTTACTCTATGTAACTACTGTTCTATTTTGTATAGGCTTCACCCTCTAAGAGCTGTCGCTGTTGGGATAAAAGCGCAGCTGGATGCAGTCAGTGCCCTGCAACTCGTCGTCATATCCCGCAATAGCAGCCCAGGTACAACATCCTCTCTCCTGCAACAGGCCTTGTCTGAGAAGCAGGTACAGTCATGCCCCATGTGTAACCTGACTGCCGCTGTGAGAAGGCAGGAATGGCCGTTATGTTTATCAGAGGAGGATAAGTGCAGGGAAGGGCACACAGTGAGCGTGTGCGCCTGACAAAATGCACAGAAAAATACTTTGTGGAAACAGGCAGACAACAGTTACACATCAGTCATGCAGTCAGATGCTCAAGCAAAGAAAGCCATATATGAAAATATAATGCCAGTCACCCACAGCAGGCAAGACTGGCAGGGGGATCAGACGTGAAAGAAGGGGCGCATAATGCATGTATGTGCCTGGCGACAACGCACTAACACAGCTTGAGTTGTAAGGAGGGGGCAGACGTTAGCTACGCATGGTAACAGTCGGATGCTCGCTTTTCTTTCTTTTTTGTTATCTTTGGAACAAAAAACAAAAGGAACCAGATGTTGGCAGCAGGCCATGTTCAGGCAGGCAGGGCCGACAGGAGCGCCGAGCAGGGCATACAGCGAGAATCTGTGCGTACAGTAAAAACACACGCATCAACAGCTTTGTGTTGTCAGAACAGTCAGGCCATAGTTAAACAGCCAGGACAATGCAACTGCCAGCCACACATGCAGCATCAGCATTTGGTGGTGTGTGTGCACTTATTCTGTGTCAGGGGGAGTCTCCGATCGTGCAGAACATCCAAAAACAATTGAGCGAGTGAAAATTCTGATGTGTCCTTTAGATAGAAGTGGGTAAAATGAAATGGGGAGGCCCAGGAGTGCTGCTGTGAAAAAAGCCCTCGTGGAGTGAGCTCTGATGCCAGACGGGGGATCTCTCCCCGCTGTATATTTGTTTGTCAGTATCGGTGCAAAATGTTTAAGCGCCTTGAGCATCATGGCCAGCTCCAGACAGTTGATGCTGGGGAACCGAGTCTGACGCCACTTCCACCCCACACCCTGCGACCCTCCCAGCGGGGGTGTGAGTCGCTGGGCGGGATGAAGCCCCTATTGTAGCCTGAGCAAACAGTGGTGCGACGCTGGAGTCCGGCGTTCATTCTTCTGGAACATCCCTCTTTAGACACTGCTCTCAGGAATTGCTCTTTAGAACTGCTGAAGACTGAACTGGGTCATGACCAAAAGGGTAAGATCCCAGATACAGGCGGCCGAAATGAGCTTCCTCCGAAAGGTGGCCGGGCGCACCCATAGAGATAGGGTGAGGAGCTCGGTTACCCGGGAGGAGCTCAGAGTAGAACCGCTGCTCCTCCACATCGAGAGGAGCCAGCTGAGGTGGCTCGGGCATTTCTTTCAGGCTTTTATGCAGCCACAGCAGACCTGAGTGGAGGCAGTCAGGGCACAGGGCGTGAAAGAAATCTCTTCAGGACTGCGCATGCGTGAAGGATAAGGGTCAAGGTCAAGGTTTATTTGTCATATGTCACAGTTAGGAAACATTTTTCCCTGTACAATGAAATTCTTACTTTGCCGTCCACATGAATGCCACACAATACAAGTGAAATATAAAGTAGATGAGCAATAACACAAATCTAAACAGGCAGTAAAATCACAAATCTAAGGCACTTTAAAGCATCAAGTGAAGGGAGCAAATAAAAATACAAGAAGAACACAATATAATGCAGAGAGAATATATGCTACATGGGCGCCATGGAGTGTAAATACTCAGCAGTGGGTGTGCAATTGTGCATGTGCAAAATGAGTACGTAAACAGTACAGATAGAATTACATGAGACAGATCCTGAGTCAGCTGTTTGGGAGTCTGATGGCAGAGGGAAAGAAAAAGCTTTTCAGTCTAGAGGTCCTGCCCTTCACACTTCTGAGCTTCCGACCAGGGGGTAGAGGTATAAACAGCAAATAGCGACAGCTCTTAGAGGGCAAAGCCTATACAAAGTAGAACTGGACTTGAGTTGGACTTGAGTACTACAACACTGTGTGTCATTTGCCTAATTTATCATATATTAAACAAATTTATATACATTTTATTTTGGAACCACATTTACATACATAGAACCTCCTATTATAATGACAACTAAAAAGCTTAGGCTGTGTGCACTCAGTCATTGTTTGGAGGGGGTTCTCAGTAATAATTATTGGATTGTCCACATGGTGACTGCTAGCAATTGTGAAACTACTTTTTCATCTAGCACTATATTCAGGTCCAGCCTCAGCTGTGCATTGAGTTTAATGCCATTTAGCTAATGTCAGCTTGATAAGGTTGTTATTAACAAAGCTGGTTTACAAGGTAAACATCTGATAAATATCAGCATGCTGACCTTTGTGTCTACTGCTGTGCTTAACTGCAGCCTCCCTCAGTCACTACCTTGTTTTTATTTACACATTACCTAACATGTTTTCTCCAGCTTACCTTTAGGCAGACCAATTTCATCTCATAGACAAAGAATGTCAGTGGCTGTACTATGCTTGTTTTTTAATTCTTTGTCCAGGTAACTAATCTTTTTATGTACATGCCTGTTTGTCCTGTGGTTGCACTACTGCATATGTTTGTAGTCATGCATATCCTAATAGTCCATTCCCTATGAACCTGATGGCAGGTGATGGGTGCTATTATAAAAGGTTTGTGGCCTGGGTGGTGTGTGTTTTTTATTTATTTTGTTTTATTTTATTTTGCCAGGAAGTCCCATTGAGATCAAGTTCTCTTATACAAGGGAGACCTGGCCAACATAGCAGCCATAGAAATTTAAAACATTCAGCAACACAATTCAGCATGCACAAGATAATATACAAGAAATCCATTCACAAGATAAAATAGTCACCTCTCAAGAAAAACAGCCACATGCTTCCTTCACCACATTAAATTCTTAAGTTGAAAAATGTAAATCTGCAAGTTATTCCATGTCCAAGGTGCATAGTAGTAAAATCCAATTTTCCTCAGATCTGTAAAGACCCACGGTACATTAAAAAGCAACTATCTGGAAGAGTGCAGCTAGTAACCACTACTTAATTTTTGTGATTTTTGGTTTCTCAGGCACCAGCAGCAGGACCTCAGGGTGAGCAGGATGCCAGAGGGAGCTGGAGGGGGATGCTGAAGAAAGGAGAGGAAGTCCCAGGCTCTGGACCTGGGAGTCCCCTTAAAGGAGCCGTCAACCTGCTTGATGTGGTAGCTAACAGTAGCCTTTCAGCATGCCCCATTGTGCAGATTTAAGTAATAAATGACTGCATAAAGCACTTTCTCCCTTTCCCTTCAAGCCTGTGCCAATCGCCAGGAAACTGTCATCACGTGAGCAGCGGGACTGTGAGGTCATTGAGCGCCTCATCAAGTCTTACTTTCTCATTGTTCGTAAGAATGTTCAGGACAGGTAGGCCCTTCAACGACTCTTCTGAGGATACATGAATTTCTCTGTATTTGTTAGTGTGTAATAAAATAAATGGCAGGCCAGTTGTCTCTAACGTTAGTTAACTAATTTCCATGACTCCAACTCTGTTTACACAAACACAAAACAAGTTAGTAGGTCCGATGCTGTTTGACAAAGAATGTATTGATTAAGCACAAATGCGCCTTAAGTTAAAAAATTCTTTAGTAATCTCATAGTTAAGTCACGTTGTCCCTGCACATTAATCCAGCTGTGTATTTTTAATGTTCAGTGTTTAAAAAAAAAAAATCAACTGTAGGAACATTTCCAATCTTTTCCTCCTGACAAAATTACAACCCTAGTTTTCCCACTACAGTTGTAAATTGTTAACCTAAACCTAACCCCAAAATAATCAATGGTCATAACAACTGCTAACAACTGTTGACAGTCATGGCTGAAAAGTTAGAATCTATGTGTGCTGGAATATAATAAATGTAATCTAATTGCATTTAATGTGTCCATCCTACCAATGTTTCTGTCATATTATTGGTTTAGGGCCTCTAGAGCTCAGTAGGTTTAAATATTCCCTCTCATACAGTGGGGCAAAAAAGTGTTTAGTCAGCCACCAATTGTGCAAGTTCTCCCACTTAAAAAGATGAGAGAGGCCTGTAATTTACATCATAGGTATACTTCAACTATGAGAGACAGAATGAGAAAAACAAATCCAGAAAATCACATTGTCTGATTTTTAAAGAATTTATTTGCAAATTATGGTGGAAAATAAGTAAGTGGCTGACTAAATACTGCCCCACTGTACCTGACCCCAACTTGATATTTGGACAGGTATGACCACCTGGTGGGTCTGACTAGTCCCTCCATCTATGGGAAAATGCAATCACTAGGCCATCATGCTGCCTTGTTCTGAACCACCTGTTCTGTTTGTTTCCCCCTTCTCTGTGCCACAGTGTGCCAAAGGCAGTGATGCATTTCCTGGTCAACCATGTAAAGGACAGCCTCCAGAGCGAGCTTGTTGGCCAGCTGTATAAATCTGGTCTCCTCAACAACTTGCTGACTGAGTCGGAGGATATGGCCCAGCGGCGCAACGAGGCCGCCGAGATGCTACAGGTAACACACTCCCACTTTGTAGTGTGTGTTGTTCTCTGATGAATCAAAGCGCCAGTCAGTCATTTGCATTTTTTAAGTAGGGGGCGTGGGTTCATCTTGTCCATAGGCATTGCAGAAAGCCAGCCAGGTGATTGCTGAGATCAGGGAAACACATTTGTGGTGAAGAAACAACAAGGGCAGTTGAACCTGGTCTGTTATGTCCGCATCATGCCCAAGGACTGAAGCTCCATGGACTTGTGGAATGTGGAAATTTTGAATTTACAACCATGATAATGCACTGATCCCTGCTCAACATGTACAGTACATAGCATCCTACTGGTTCTTAAGCTATTCAAACAAAATGTAAGTAACTGAAGTTGTTTATTTGAATTTCTATTTAAATACCTGGCATGGTAAGAAAAAGTAAGTGAACTATTTGGAACTAAGTGGTTTTCTACACAAATAGGTTATAAAATGTGATCTGATTTTTATCTTGAGTCACAAATATATGACTTAGATGCAAAAATATCTTTCATGTCTTCAGTAAACTCAGCCAATGAACATTCAGAGTGCTGTGGGAAAAGTGAACCCTTGGTTGTTCTTCTTTTGTAGCAATAGTCTCAAACAGTTGCTTCCTGTAACTGCAGATCAGACCACAGTTAGTTATATCTGTGTGGTATTGCCTTAAGCACACTTGTCCATATTTGACTTAGATGAAGATTTATTTAGAAAAACAGGTAATTCTAAATGGTTCACATTTTCTGCTAATGTTACTCCTGTGTACATACACTCTAATTTTCTTTTTGTACTGTAGTCACCACATTGCACTGTATAGAAGGGCCATCATTTAGTTATACATTGTATTACCATTCATCTTTGTATTATTTGGGTGTGTGGATAAATGTTTTAAGCACTACTGCTGTAGGAGGCCATTTAAGTGTGCTTATATATTGCTGCCTACATGTGAAATTTATTGTGCACTGTGTTTGGGTCCCAAAACAACAGGTGTTCTATTGCCACTTAACTGATTAGAAAAAGAATGACTCCTTGGTTTCTTAGACAGAATTGAAACCACATAAAAAGTACCTCATGACTGAAAAAGTTCAAGTCTCTTTATTGTGTCTCTTAAATTGTACATTGTTGAATTAACACCACTTATTTTTAGATGCTTCCTCATAGAACTTCAGTTGACGATTCCATCTACCTCCACCTGCCTTTGGCCTTGCCTCTTCCTTTTACACTGTGGTGTCAAAGGTCATTTAAAAGTTTAGAATAACAGATGCTGCAATAAGTTATGGTTTTTGTGGGGCAACATTTTTTTTACAAATTTGTGGGTCTGATATTTCGTAATGAAACGTCACCCAGTGGTGTGTTTCACCAATGCGTTTGAATAACAGCGGAGGTCTATGTCCCAGACATGACCATGAGTAGAGACAATTCACTGCTGGTCTGAGTTTCTGTTTGGGGATTGTAAGAGTTGTAGAGGAAAGATCTCATAATTGTGAGATAATGTATAATGGTGCAGCACTTGTAACATTTTAGAACTTCCCTGAAAATCATCAAGTTTAAGAATTGCTTAGCATTTTAGTAACCTAATTCAGTGGCAGTTGTCAGTAGTCAGTGTAAATGTCTAGTTTGGTGTACTTACTGTTCCAAAATGTAAACAGATAAGCTTAAAAAACATATATGTGAAGACTTAATGTTTGGGACATTTTGCCAAATGCTATGCAATATAAACTCTTGATATTTCACATCATTTATTATATTGATAAAAGGAGCTAGACAGTTAAATCAGGTAGTTAATGTAAGGTAGAAAAGTATGACAAAGGAAATTACATTAGCATTTTTTAAGGGGGGGTTTATCTTGTCCATAGGCATTGCAGAACCTTGAATTGCGAGTAACCTGGTCTGCGAGTGTTTTGCAACACGAGCAAAAATTTTGATTCGATAAACAAGTGAGATCTCGCAATACGAGTAGTACGTACGCTTTGTCTGCCAAGCGTCATGTTACAACTGAGCCAATGGTTCTCGTGCCTCACTTGTATAGTCAACATCTATACTGCAACAATGGCCTCTCATGCCAGCCACGATTCTTTTCAAAGGTAAAGTGCACGTTAATTAGTTTTATTTTTACTTTATACTGTATTTTGCATTACTGTAATCATTTTTATATGAATAAGTAGTTGTGCCGGTTGCCATCTGGGCATGGTGCCTTTTCTGAGTTTCCATTATTTCTTATGGGGAAATTTGCTTTGATATACGAGTGCTTTGGATTACGAGCACATTGCCAGAACGAATTATACTCGCAATCCAAGGTTTCACTCTATTTGTTTAGCGCTAAATCACAACAACAGTCAGAAACGTAGTCTTAGGTCTAATCTTAAAGGTACTTCTGTGGACTCTAGGAACCATAAGTAGACCTGCACTCTGAGAGCAAAGTGCTCTGTTGGGACAATAAAGCCTTATTATCATTACAAAATGTTGCAAAATGATGTTGCAAGAAGTAAAACAAGAATTAACACTGGTGTGGTTTTATTAAGAAAATGGAGCCTTGTCATTAAGCCTTTGGAGCCTTTGTATGTTAGGAGAAGGACTTTAAAATCTATTCTGGATTTTACAGGGAGCCAGTGGAGAGATGCTATATCTCTCTTGCTAGTTCCTGTCAGTACTCTGGCTGCAGCATTTTGGATTAACTGGAGGCTTTTTAGGGAATTATTGGGACATCCTGATAGTAAAGAGTTACAATAGTCCAGCCTGGAAATAACAAATGCACTGACCAGTTTTTCAGCATCACTTTGAGATAGGACGCTCCTGATTTTTGTGATACTGCACAGGTGAAAGAAGGCAGATCTAGAGACTTGGTTTATGTGTGATTTAAGCCATTAAAAATACTATAGCAAGATATTTACACCACATATAAATTCGTCCATAAGACAAAATAAAAAAAGACTGAAACTTAACATTTCCCAATTAGCTCAGCACTGTGGTCTTCTTGCCTCCAATAAATGACAGTAAAACATGGTGGGATACACAAACCAGAGTGATGTAGTGCTACTTAGTCACAGGATGTATAACAGTTTGAACTGCCCGACGATATATTGCAACAGTGTTTTCCAACTTTTTTGAGCCATGGCACATATTTTACATTAGAAAACTCAGACAAGGCACACTACCAAACAAAAATGTCACAAAAAGTATATTTATTGAAATATAATAAAAATCTAGTCTCAGTTTATTCAATTTACTCACTCAGTGTGAAGCTGATATTCTTGCAGGAATTGAAGAAAGACACACATCTTCCTCAACAGCTCTGAATCTCTCTTTTTTTCATCTTTATAGCAGCCATGTTTGAAAAGCCCACCTCACATAGATAGGTTGTGGAGAAAGGGAGCAGAACTGAAATAGCTTTGTTTGCCACTCCTTGGCAGCAGTTAGCCAAAAACTGTCTAAAGGTAGATCAGCAAAGCTCAGTTTTAGACCACGATTTTGTCTCAGTTCAGTTATTTCTTCTTGCTCCTGCAAAGTCATGTCCTTTCCAACTGCAGTTGAGCTGTATGGGTTCCTAACCCAGTCAAGGCAATCAGTGGAAAGTGAAGGGAAATAACATGACAATTCCTGCTCAAGATTTGCAGATGTTTACCTATTGTCTCACACAGTGAATGGTAAATGGTAAATGGACTGTATTTATATAGCGCTTTACAGGGAGATCATAGCACCATTCACCCATTCACGCACACATTCACACACCGATGACAGCTGCCACACAACGGCGCTAATCAAGCCACCGGGAGCAATTCGGGGTTCAATCTCTCTTGCTAGTTCCTGTCAGTACTCTGGCTGCAGCATTTTGGATTAACTGGAGGCTTTTTAGGGAATTATTGGGACATCCTGATAGTAAAGAGTTACAATAGTCCAGCCTGGAAATAACAAATGCACTGACCAGTTTTTCAGCATCACTTTGAGACAGGACGCTCCTGATTTTTGTGATATTGCACAGGTGAAAGAAGGCAGATCTAGAGACTTGGTTTATGTGTGATTTAAGCCATTAAAAATACTATAGCAAGATATTTACACCACATATAAATTCGTCCATAAGACAAAATAAAAAAAGACTGAAACTTAACATTTCCCAATTAGCTCAGCACTGTGGTCTTCTTGCCTCCAATAAATGACAGTAAAACATGGTGGGATACACAAACCAGAGTGATGTAGTGCTACTTAGTCACAGGATGTATAACAGTTTGAACTGCCCGACGATATATTGCAACAGTGTTTTCCAACTTTTTTGAGCCATGGCACATATTTTACATTAGAAAACTCAGACAAGGCACACTACCAAACAAAAATGTCACAAAAAGTATATTTATTGAAATATAATAAAAATCTAGTCTCAGTTTATTCAATTTACTCACTCAGTGTGAAGCTGATATTCTTGCAGGAATTGAAGAAAGACACACATCTTCCTCAACAGCTCTGAATCTCTCTTTTTTTCATCTTTATAGCAGCCATGTTTGAAAAGCCCACCTCACATAGATAGGTTGTGGAGAAAGGGAGCAGAACTGAAATAGCTTTGTTTGCCACTCCTTGGCAGCAGTTAGCCAAAAACTGTCTAAAGGTAGATCAGCAAAGCTCAGTTTTAGACCACGATTTTGTCTCAGTTCAGTTATTTCTTCTTGCTCCTGCAAAGTCATGTCCTTTCCAACTGCAGTTGAGCTGTATGGGTTCCTAACCCAGTCAAGGCAATCAGTGGAAAGTGAAGGGAAATAACATGACAATTCCTGCTCAAGATTTTGCAGATGTTTACCTATTGTCTCACACAGTGCAGCACTGTTGACACGCTGCCATTTCTGGGTGTGTGGGAACATGTTAAGGTTGGTACTTTCCACACGTTGTTTCCAGAACTGCACCTTTAAACAAAATCCCTTTATTTTATCTGTACTTGTGAGCAGGTTTTCATTTCAGCCTTGCATTCGTGTGTTCAGGTCATTCAGATGTTGAAATAAATCGGCCAGATATGCCAGTCTTGCACACCACTCATCACTTGAGAGCAGCTTAGCGTCTATATATATCTATAACACATTTGATCAGATAAAGGCAAGTATTAAACTACTAAATACATCACAATCTCAAGAATCAAATCTTAACTTGGAAGCCACTTCAGAAACCCTTCCATGGAGCCTTTGTTAGAACACTGAAATATACCTTTGTATGAGAGCTAAAAACATGGATGGAGATCATTTCGTTAAAAAGTGATAGTTAGCCTACAGTATATACGAGCTGACAGATCAGTGACAACAAATAAAGCACCAACATTCAAACAGCAAACACACTCAGCCAGCGTTTATCACTGACAGCAGACACACTGGAAATAAGACGATGCACATGTGAAGCCATGTAGAAGCCTTTACCTTCCTCTTCCTGGGTTTCTGTGTCTGAGACATAATCAGGTCAGCTACATCTGCAACTGGAGTCTTAGAAGTGACATTTTGCTTTCACACAGTGAATACTTACCTTCCTCTCTGAAAAGAAAAGAAGAAGTGAACTTTAGGGGCAGTCAGCCAAAATCTGCTCTGTAGGCCTATTTAAAATGCGGGAAATGCTTCAAAGATGTTGTGAAAGAACTCACAGTATCTCCTCAACTTCTCCAGACATCTTGGATTACAGTT